TCAAAAATTATTAGACAATAACCCAGGATGTAAAGGATATCATTTTTAAACCGATAGATACTATACTAGCTTGCCACTTGCAGAAGAGTTGTTAAAACTAAATGTTAATTTGACAGGCACTATTCAAATAAACCGCAAATTTATACCTGATTCTATCAAAAAACCAACATTTGCCGAAGACAACACATTTGCATGCAGATCAGGTAATTTGATGTTATTGGCATGGAAAGATAAAAGGGTCGTCACCATACTTACTTCGTGGGATATTTCAGGAACACAGCCTATCAACAGAAGAGTACGTGGAGGTAACTTACAAGTTGTAAATAAGCCAAATGCAGTGGTCAATTACAATAAATTTATGGGAGGTGTTGACCGCGCAGACTCTTATTCAGCGTCATACTGTTTCCTGAGGAAGTCTTTGAAGTGGTGGCGAAAGTTATTTTTCTGGGGACTAGGGTGTCCAGTCCCGGTATTTAGGCCCGGTTCCGTCCCGGGATTTCTTGAAAAAAAAGGAGGTCCGGGACCACTAAGAAGTCCCGGGATTTTAAAAGTCCCGAAATTAAGAAAAAAATTAAAATATCGGAACGACTACAACTAACAGGTTACAACCTGTTAAAAATATCGACCTCGAGACCCCGACTAGCTAACGGGTGATCTAACAAAACGGTTCTCCGAGTTCGTAAAAAACCTAAATTGATAGGGGAATCACCGGCTAGAACGAGTTATGACTTGCAATATTTGTAGAATCGGTGTTATATACCGGCGGTGCTCCAATTAATAGGTATAGTCGTGTGACACTGTGAGTTGTGGCTAGCCTGTGCTCCGGAGGTTTTTGTGTGCGCATCAAATAATTTGAGATAAATTAACAAAGCAAAATTAAACAAAAATACAGGTAATTTGAAAGTATTATAAATAAAAGCTTTTCATTCATTGTGATGAAATTTTTTTAGGTATAAGCTGTCATATAAGCTGTTTTAATTTAAAAAATGAGTTCTGAGTCCGTAATTTATACGGTACACCCAAAAAAAAAACGCTGATCCAATGTCAATATGGCGACAGTTTTATATATCAACAGATAAACAAGCGGCGAAATGTAAGATTTGTCCTAACAAAATTATTATGTGTAAAGGCGGCTCAACAAAAGGATTACACAAGCATTTCGCTGGAGTGCATAAAAAGAAGGGGTGGTTCCACAATCAACGCGTCCGTTATCGGCAGCGCTAGAAAAAAATTTGGCTGTTGAAGTCGCAATTGTTGATAACAACGAAGAGGAAAACGAACTACAGTCTAGCTTATCTTCTACTTCGTCTTCCCAATTTTCCCAAATGATGCAAAAAAAAGAGAAAACTGACTGATTATTTCCTTATTAATTCGAATGAAGAAGATAATTCTTTAGATGCAGTTATCGCTCGAATGGCAGCATTAGATGGACTTCCATTTAGAGTTATTATTACATCTAAAGATTTAAGAAAAGGTTTAGAGGCAAGGGGATTTCAGAATTTACCAACTTTTACATCAACAATTCAAAATAGAATTTTAATGTATTGCGAAAAGGTATTTGACAATTTCACCGATGAAGTACAATGTCTACGAGAAAAAGGTCGTCGTTTCAGCTTAACATTCGATGAATGGACGTCCATAGCCAACAAACGATATATAAATATAAATATTCACGGATACTTGGATGGACAATAAAGACAAAGTCTTAAAATGTGGAATATAGGATTAGTACATATCAAAGGATCTTTGCCTGCAGAGAAATGTATTAATCTTATTGAAAAAAAACTCGAGCGATTTAAGTTAAGCTTAAAAAATGACATTGTTTCCATCACAACAGATGGAGCCAGTGTAATGGTGAAAGTAGGAAAATTAATACAACCACTGCAGCAATTATGCTTTGCTCATGGTATTCAACTTGCAGTGATTGCCGTCATTTATTCTAAAAATGAACAAAAATTATCAAACCGAAACACTGAAACTGATGGCAACACGAGTAGTAGCGAGAACGACTATAATAGTGACAATAATGAAGACGGTGGTTTTGAGTTAATTGAAGACGATGACCAAATATGCTTTAATTTAAATAATTACGGGAACATTCACAAACTGGTAACCGAAGTACGGAAGACTGTCAAAATTATTTCGTCGCTCTCCTTTAAAAAACAGTGTTCTGCAGAACTATGTAAAAGGGAAACATTGCAAGGAATTAAAACTTATTTTAGATTGCAAAACAGGATGGAACAGCTTAGCTCAAATGTTAGAACGGTTTGTTTTTCTAAAGGACTGTATTCAGAAGGCTATGATTGATGTATGCATGCCGATGAATCTGACTGACCATGACCTTGAAGTTCTACAGGTAGTTGTAAAGTGTCTTGAAACTATTAAACTTACTGTGTTGGTGGTATGTAGACATGATGCCAATCTTTACACGACTGATGCCAGCTTTAGGTTTATGTTTCAAGAACTTTCAAAAATTAATACTTCATATAGCAGAGCCTTGCAATCTGAATTAATGCAGCGAATAAATGAACGGAGAACAGTAACATCAAGTGCACTGAGCTATCTCTGTAATCCGCTTAAATATATAGAAAAATCGGATGATTTATTTTTTGATCATCCAGATACTATGGAAATATCCCATTTTTTTTAACTTGATACAAAGATTATCACCCACATCGTCGTCGTCGCCAACAATGCAAGAGGAAGACGATATTCCGCTATCTTGTCTTAAAAACGATCAACAAGGTAATGAACTGTCATTAGCAGAAAAATTAAATAGGATATTTGAAAATGCAATATCTACGTCCACCAGCATGAGAGCAATATCACCACCTCAAATTGGAACATCAACAAAAAATTCATTAATTACAATAATCAAAGACGAAATGGCCCTTTTCGAGAAAGGCGGTTGTCGAGGCAAGAATCTTCAACTATGCTACGAGTATTTGCTAACCATACCGCCCACGGGTGTACAATCGAAAAGGGCGTTTTCTATTGCCGGTTGTTTTGCAACGAAAATACGCTCGGTATTAGGAGATAAATCTTTAAACGCACTTGTAGCACTTAAAGCATATTTTAAAAAATAAATTTTTTTTTTAATTTCCTATTTTGTGATTTTTTTTATGTTTCTCTCATTCTATATAAATTTGTTTTATTCAATTGGTGAACTCCTACAGTAACACTAAAGTAAAAAATCCAAAGTATGTTTTTAAATGTTTTTTAAATATTTTTTTGCAAACGTATTTTGATTTCGGGACTATTTTCGGGAATTCGGGACCTTTGGTCCAAGTACCGGGAATTAGAATTTAGTCCCGAATCCCGAAAATATTTTTGGTCCCGGGAATTGGACACCCTACTGGGGACTCGAAATGTCCAGTGTCAATGCATTTTTATATATTGCATTTATTATATAAAATTTCACAACGGGGCCAAAACAAAAAACCAATGACACATCTAAAGTTTGTTCGGGAATTGGTTGACGAGATGACAAAAAACTTTCGGCAGGGGTCCAAAACTTCTGGCAGACCATCATCTGTAGATACAGAAAAGCGGCTAAATTGTAAATTACATATTTTACGCCAAAATGATGGGAAGAAAAAAGACTGTGCGGTATGTTCTAACCGTAAAGTACAAGGCGGCAGGCGGGAGACTACATATTGGTGACTGCTTCGAACGGTACCATACACTACAACATTATAAAACGTAATTTTTTGTAAATTGTGTATAAATTTATTTAATGATAATGGTAGTGATTATGATAACGTTAGGTTTTATTTGTGTTTCTCTATCCTCAAGATTTATTATTTTTGTAAGCCATTATTTTTTATTTAGTGTTTTTCAAGTTTTTTATATTTAGTTATTTTTCATGTTATAATTTGAATAAACATCTGTGTAAAAAAATTTTACAAAGATGTTTTTAACATTAAGCGATTTATTTTTAATTTTCCCAAATTTTTATTTGGTTTTTACGCTGTGTATTTACAAAGCAACATTAGAGCATTTAAAAAAATCCCATATAAAAAAAATTCCGAGTAGACAGATAAGTAGATAAAATAATAGTCCGAATACAGTGTACTCACAAAAGGACATACATACGAGTGCAAAGGGTTAAAAAACCGAAATTTAGTGTAAAAAATGGAATTGCGCTGAGAAAACGTAACACATTAGTGTTAGCGTGGAAAGACAAGAGAGTTGTCACCTTGCCGAGTACTTGGGACACAGCAAAAATTACACAAGTAAATAGAAAAATACGTGGCGGTGAAACAGTGTCAATTGACAAGCCATTTATTGCATTAAATTACACTAAATCTATGGGAGGAGTTGACCGCGCCGACCATTATGTTGTGTCATATTGTTTCTTAAGACAATCTCTAAAGTGGTGGAGAAAGATGTTCTTCTGGGGATTAGAAATTTATTATATATAACCAACAAAGACAACGGATGAATTTGAAACCAGTTTCTCATTTGAAATTTAGAAAAATACTGATAGAGCAATTAAGGGGTGACTTTAGAACGCCAGCGCAACCCCAATAACGGGTGTCGAACTTACAAACAGAAAACAGGTTAGACGGAAAATTTCATGTTATTTGTACTGGTACGAAAAAGGATGGACTGTTTGCTCGGATAGAAAAACGCCGGGAGGAAGACGAGAAACACGTAATTATTGCGATAGTAGTACAAAAAAACCTGGTATACACATAGGGGTCTGTTGGGAGAAGTACCACACTCAATAAATATATAAATAATTTTGTTAAACATTGTAAACTTACAAAAAATAAATTTATAAGCCTATGCAAATCAATACATTACATACATCTATTTGTTTATGTCAATCCCCGTTATTTTTCTGTAATTTTGACTTCAATATCTTTTTGTATGGATGATATCCAAGCGATATTAATTGTGTATTTTTTCTTGCTTTGGCAGTAAAGCAATTAATTTCTTAAAATTCCGTCGATCTACTGCTCGTTCGTTAAGGGTTAAAATAAAATATTCTTTGCTATTATTGAAAGAAATTTTTTATAAAACACAGACTATTACACTGTAAAATTGCTGTGACAAATATTTTATAAAATCATTGATAAGTCAAATACCGGCCAAATGTATTAATATAATAATATAATAATTTTTTTTGTCTGTAATAAATTTGTCCTTTATATCCGAAGTCCGTTTTAACGAAGTCCGGTATTATATCGAGGTTTTACTGTATCTTTATTTGTATTCGTTTATGCAATAAAAGTTGTTTAATTAAATACTAATAATAATAATTCTCACGTCATCATGGTCACATGACCGTGCATGCCCCAACCCTGGAGCTTCCTCCTTTCATACGGCGACTCTCCACAGTAACTTTAAGGACCATAGAGAATCCTCTTAAGCATGATAACATCATGATATTCTTAAAATTCAAAACATTGGGTGAAACTTATATTATTAATATTTGCGTTTTTGGTTATAATTTTAAAAACTTATACAGAAGTTTAAATAACTCAAAATTATTGTGTGAAGAAAATAAGCAGAGTTATAAGGAAGATTTACATTTTGGATACTTTAACAAAACAAATTATCAAAAAACAAATCCCAAAATGTATAGGTTGCATGTACACATGCATTCTACAAAGGATTATTCTGAAGCTATATGGCAATTATTCTTTGTAGAACACTTGTCTACCTATCCATAGCACAGCCATAAAAGACTGGTTCCTAACTACATATGACAAATATGAAATCATTAAGATATCTCAGCAGCATATTGTAGAAATAATATACAAATTTATGTTGGTCTGATAGTAATCCACATGTGACAGTGGAAAGTCACGTTCAGCATCAATTTTCCTGTTTCGTAATTAATTTGATAGACCTACAGAAGGAAGTTTCATTCAATATCAGAAAAAATATTTACTATCAATGTAATGGCCCCTTTTATTTGCACAATGATTGGCCATCTTAAATCCATGCAATTCGTCCACAAGCTAAAACAAAATAAAAACATATAATTAATTAATCTCTATCTTATCTATTTGATACATCATAATTATTAGGAAAAATTATTATTATGAATGCTTCCACATGGTGCGTAGTAGTAGAAAATTATAATTGGTTGTTCATTTATGTTAAAATTTTTTAGTAGTTTTATTATTAATGTTAATTTAAACCAAACTTGTGTGTGTTGGAAGACACACAGAAGATATCTTCTTGTTGGGTAATTTTGAAAGGAAATAACTTTATCATGAAACCATGGAAGAAAACACGATTATGAAGAAAGAATGATCAACCAACTCGACAAAAGTGACAGCGGAGATTTGTTACACCTGTATTTGTTGTAATTTGAATATTTAAAAATGGCTTTTGAATTGAATTTATTGCTGATACATATATTTAGTATTTAAAATAAGCTATATAAAGGCATGCAGTGAAAACAAGAACAATGTTAATACAGTGACCTATAAGTACTAAAAATCAAAAGAATTCGTTACAAAAGAAGGTCTTATGCAAGGCGGCGGATTGAATCCAACCCAAGTCATAACCTATATGGACGAGATAACAAAAAGTGTAAAAAAATTTCTTGTCGAATATAGAAAATCGAAGTTCTAGAAGGAACATTCGCAGATGACGTGATTATTATAACTGGCGGCGAAAAAGAAGTAAATGAAAGTTTAAATATAAAGAAATCGAATGAGAGTACAAAGGAGTTTGGAATAAAGATGAACAAGTCGAAAAGTAATGTTATGGTGATAGATAGTAATGCAAGATTGAAAATAGTAATTGATGAAATCAAGCACAAAGTTGAATATGTAAATATTGAATTTTTTCTTGTATTTTCATTGCATTCTTTATTATCGAAATCAAGCTTGTTTACGATGAATAACGTTTAAAAGAAGCAAATATCATAGTTAGAATCCTTGCAAAAAAATAAGACACTCTACAATTCATCTCACTTTGCAATATACGAATCTTATAACAAAAATATCTACATTACATTATCTTCAGAAATTGTTGAATCTCGCTTTTTAATATGAAAAAGTCGCCATTAAGTTGCAGTTAATAATCATTTACATAAATCAGTTACTTAGAATAATAAATAAGAAGACAGATAGATTTAACTTTACAATTAACATGGATTCAATACAACACGGTACATTATTGCCCTGTTTTATATTATGTACATACATAATTAATTTAATAAATAAATAAAATAATAATTTAAATAAATAAAAAAATGTCGTATAACATGGTTTCAATTAGCACGATACGAATTAGCTGTGTTATATGAGGGACTATCTATAACACTTTTTTTTATTGCAATAGATTTAAAAAAAAATAACTACAATTTTTATAGAAAACATTCTTTCCTATTTCGAAATAGCCGACTATTTTTTCACTTAATAATTTAAATTCATAGGTTCCATTCAGATCTACTACATTAATCATGAGTGCTTAATGATTATTTTATTCAAAAACGAATGTCTCCGCAAAGACAGACAGCCAAGCTTATAACAAAGACTAACAAGGGAAGTGTCATAACTGTCCCCCACCGATTTCGTTGTAATTTGGTACAGCGATAGTATGGCCTTTTATACATGCTAATAAAGCTCCTGGGACGACTTATAAGGGTTGGAAATCGGAGCGAACGATGTATATAAAATGTAAACTGCTATTCATTTTTAAAGAGGTTTTCATTGAAATATCACACATATATCTGAGGGCTTCAGGAATCTATAAACATACATTCTATAAACACATATTCTATAAACATTAATATATTTTTCATCAATATATTTTGTATACATACCTGTAAGCAGTTTTTACTTGAACAAAAAACCCAAAAAAGTATAGAATAACATATTTTAATTTATAAAATAAGTGAGTTTACTTTATACATATAAAAAAAATAAAAAATGGCATCTTTGGCTCTGAAGCAGACATTCAGTTACCGCGCTGATCCTGGTTTATCCGGTTTTCGGAGGACGACTATCGCTCGCCCGTTACCGTACACCGGCGTCGCGTAGCCTGTCGAAAATCAGAAAAATTTTGTTTTGAAAAACTATTATCGGAATTCGTCATACAGATTTATTGCGCACAATTCAGTGCAAACCGCGTTGAAATCCGTCCAGCCGTTTTCGAAATAACAGCATCCCCTTAAACCGCGAAAATTCGCGAAACTATACAAAATATGAAAAAAATAAAATATGCCTCGCATTCAGAACATATTAGGCTATCACCTGTTGAAATACCAAATTTTTTCGTCTTATAGTTTTTGATAAAAAAATTCATATAGTGACTGTGTTCTGTACATACCAGAAATCTCAAAAATCGGGTGTTTTTATATGTTTAACTCGCTATAAAAAAACAACTGAGGGGCCAAAAATTTTCAAATTGATGTTAATATAGTAGAAATGATCAGTGATTATAACAAAGTTTACCGCAAATTTTTTCATCGATCGGTTGTGAAGTTATCGATCTCTAAACAGACGGCAAGCAATTTTATGCATGTATCTACTGGATACACGAGCGCCTAACGGAAGGTTAAGAAGAAAGTGATAAAACATTTACACTTTTGAACAATATTTTGAAGAAAACCGTAAATTTGTTGCAAATTAAGATTTACACAGTCAAATAAGCACTATACGACATTTAGGGGTATCTAGGGGTTAACTACCCCAACCACCAAAAATAATTTTTTTGCTTGTCGATTTTGCAATTTAGCACGATGATTGCTGTATATGTTAAATAATATTTTTGAAAGAACTTACAAGATTTAGAAATTTGGGGTAGAAAACATATTTTCGCTAATAATTAACATACTCCTACACAAAAATCTTGAACATATATTACAGTTCTTTTTTAAAGAACTTTTTATTCATGTTCAATGAGGTTTACAATCGTTACTCTATTTAAATAACACAACAGTTAAGATAATTATATAAATATTTATTAATAATGAGTTTAAAAGTAACTGCAAAAATGGTTTAATATCATTAATTGTATTCTACATTATTAGTTTAATTTCTTTGTTTTACTTAATGTATTGTTACCAATAATGAAAATCATGGAAGAAATGTTTTAAACACAAAGATTGTTTACACCATGCGCAAATTATAATAGCATATCTCCACAGATATCACACGTTGGGTTTTTATTAGAAAATCAAACCTCCACGGGATTTTCAAACTGTTCTGGTCTCTCCTCTATATATCCAGTTGCAAACCACGCGTACTTAAAAACATTAATAAATCTTGGGGAAGACAACTGTTATGCGTTAGACAATGCAATTTTAAAATATTATAAGAATATATGAAGGGTGGGTAATTTATTTAAAATCTACGAAGAAGAATAAATAAAAAATGTACTTAGATACAATACGTAAATAAAGATAAAACAAAGTGAGTTTAAATTAAGATATTTGCTTTGTTTTTAATATTTTTTGATGTTTTAGTTTTTAAGTGATAAAATAATTATTCAATAATTATTTCCAATAATTCGATACTTCCGATATTTCGATACTTTCGATACCTTATTTGAGGTATCGCCCAGCCCATGGATATGTGTTCCAGTCATACTATAGATATTGTTGTAATATTATACAATTTAAAATTTCTTAATGTGATGTACAATCTACTATTCGTTTAAAAATTAGGAGCCAAATTCAAATTTGATTTACCACAAAATTCAACCTTAATGATTAGTCTTCATTAAGATTGAATTTCGTGCTCCTATTTTTAAATAAAGTGACGCGTTGGACGCGATATTTTAATGTTCAAATGGATATATAATAAATGTGATATTGTATAATAGCATTAAATTATTCAATAATAATTGAATATTAAACAGCTTAAATATTATTGTTTTTTATATAAATCTTGTTACGTTTTATTTTCTTTAAACCTTCGATTATCTTTTCTATGTATCTTTTGTTGAATTTTTGGCAGCTGAATTCGAGATTCCTCTTCCTTNTAGAACAACCAATTTCGAGTTGAACTGAATGACTAAAATGTCACACCCACATAAAACTAATGTCGAATATCTCGAAAGCAAAAGCCGACCAGAAAAACTTTATTATCTCATTTCGACTTGAAACTGGTTGCTGTACATGGGATTTTAATTTTGCTGCCTACTTTTGGATCACCTGTATACTATTGCTAACTGTAATTATTTCTACATAGGCGCAATAGAGAATTTATTAAAAAAAGCTCATGAATTGATTCACAATGAAGTGAACAATAAAGCCGAATTATATATGTCGTTGCTGGCAAAATTGAACTGCGGAAAAAGGTTAAATTTGACCCAGAGAGGTTCATTCCAAACGCGAGCACATATAACAGCATTGCGCTGCAATGAAGGTATTTTATTTTTTTCAAATTATCGCTAATTATTGTATAGCAATAATAACTATTGATTTTTGTATCGTAGGTCATTCATTGCAAAAGTATGGCTTACAAAAAGGTGGAGGTGGACACGTTAGGCAGCAATTTTTAAGATACATTGACAAATGTGATCTAAATCGTGATCTAGGGCGAGTTGAAACTAATTTGCTCTTGTCAGATGCACTGATGATTGATTGGCTTTCACTGTATCGTTTAACAGATGTTGATGCTAAAGTGGACTACTTTAATTCCAAAATCATTAATCTCTATGATAAACATGCCCCACTTAGGCAACGCAGGATGAGGCACCCGCCTGCACCTTGGCTGAGTGATGAGATAAGATCTCTTATGCGACTGCGTAACCGTGCAAAGTCCGTAGTTAAACGTACACCCTCTAGTGCTAATCGGGAAAATTATCGAATATTACGCAACCGCTGTAATCATAAATGCAAGTATGCTAAGAGATTTTATTTCTACGAGAGGCTGTCTGGAGTCGCGCCCAGAACATTTTGTAGGACTATGAGGTCTCTCGGAGTGATTGATTCTCCGTCTGTCCAGATGGATCTTGATTGTGAGTCGATGGCAAACTTTTTGCAGAGCCTCCCCTGATCGTCGATGACGTAACTAAGGCGGCTACAATTAATGAAATTCTTACTTCTCTTAAATCTTGCTCCTTCTCTCTTACGCTTGTGACCGCGATCGAAGTAGGCGATGCTTTGACTTATTCGAAGTTCCCTTGCGTGGGTTCTGATGGTATCGGTCTCAACCTTCTTCTTCCTATCCTGGATATAGTGCTTCCTCCCTTAACTCATATCTTCAACTTTTCTTTTGAGCGGTCTTTATTTCCNTTTTAGTCGCTCTCTATCTCTCTTTTTGTGTCTTTTCTTTATTTTTCTCTTTGTTTTTCTTTTCTTGCTCAATCTTATTTGGTGATGTTAATAATATCTAATTATCACTACTTGCCATATTCAGCAAATACTATTTTTATTTTTGTTTGTTCTGTTGGGTCATTTGGCAGAGATCGCTTGTGCGATAAAATGATCCATTTGCTGATACTGTTTAAGTTAAGTGTATCTTATGTAATTTTGTATTTTTGTCTGTGGCAATAAATGATAAATAAATATAAATACAAATAATATCAAAAAAGGAGGATGCAGATAAAAACAAAGAAAACAACCTGTTCATGACCGTAAACAAAATTATGAGTACGGAAATAAATCAAAACAAGGGAAACTGTCGGCAGCAGAGGTTGCTTCCGAGTCTGATAGAATTTTGCAATCGCTACAGGTTACTTTCAAATTTGTCACGCCTTAAATCGTTAGCGTTGTTATCTACGTTGAAAATCCACACAAACAAGGACAATCCCAATTCCTCAACTTTTCCAACCCAAGTGTTGTTGCCGCAGGTACCACTAACGACATCCACTAACGAGGAAGTGACGATGTGTGTGAAATAGGGTTAAGGTAGGTTGAGGAGATACTCATTCACAAAATACACAAAAAAAATTTTAAGGTAAAGCTCGATATAATGAAAAAAATAATAATAAACACAATTCAACAACAAAAAGAAAATTTCAAAACGATCAGTAATATTTAAAAAAAAGCAAGAATAAAAGGTAAACCCTTTAAAAAAAAAAAATAAGATTGTAAGTACGCGCAATTCCCCGAAAACAAAGAGCTCAGTGTTGACGAACAAATTGATCACTTTCCAACTCAGAAAAGTGTCAAACAATCAAATCTTTTACAAAAAAAAATAAGATAACTGAAATTATATAGGTTTATATGTACTGATGTTAAATGAAATGAAATTATAAATGAATATGGGAAAGTTAAAAAAATTACCCTTAAGGGGATATGTAATTATTATAAAAAAAAATTCAAACAAGAAATGAAATAATATTTTTTTTTTTTTAACAATTAAACAAAAACACTCTGACCTTTATTTTCTTTTCGTTTTATCAAAAATTAAGTTGAGAGTTCCTTTTCCAAAGTACATGAAGATTTCCAGTGGACGCCGTCAGGTTGGTGGTCGAAAAGGTAAGGATGGATGCTGTTATTCCAAAAATAACTTTGCCGAAAAAAAAATTCTCAAACACCTTTCTGTTTCAGGTTTCTTAAAATTCCAAAATGGCCGTGGATGGATACCACGATTCGTCGTGTCGAAAATTTCGATATAAATCGACAATATACAGGGTGTCACACAAAAAACGCCCCAAGCTGTAACTCTCTCATTTGCAGTCCGATTTTCATGAGTGAGGTAACAAATGAAATGGTTTGATGAATACTATGATGCACGCTACAAATAAATTTTTATTAACTTTTGTTTTTCAAATTGCTCCATATATTTTTCTTCACGTCATTGGATGGAGATTGTTTTTCTGAATCCATTGATATACAATACATCCATTTTGAAAGTAATTTTAGCAAAGAAAAGACACCTGTATATACAGGTTATCACACAAGAAAGCCGCAAGCTGTAACTTTGTCATTTACCTTCTGATTTTCATGAACGAGGTATCAAATGAAATGGTTTGATGAATACTATGATTCATGCTACAAATAAACTTTTTCCAGCGTTATCTTTCATTTCAAGCGATTATCAACTTTTGATTTTCAAACTGCTCGGTATGTTTTTCTACACGTTATAGTATAGAGATTTTTTTTTCTGAACCCAATGATGTACAATACATTAACATTAATTGTAATTTTAGTAGAGAAAAACAATTAAAACATTTTCCGAACATTGTCTTACAAGGGAAGTATCAGAACTGTCCCTCACCGATTTTGTTGATATTTGGTACAGCGATAGTATGGCCAAAAATAAGGTTTACGTATTTTTTTATATGTGCTAATAAAGCCCCTGGGGCGAGTTATAAGGGTTGGAAATCGGGGCGAACTATATATATTCGCTTATAGGCTGAAAACGAAAATAGCTATCGAAATGTGGTAAATGTAAACTGATATTCATTTTCAAAGAGCTTTCCATTGATATATCACACATATATCTGAGGGCTTTAGGGGGTAAATTACCCCTAGTTTTTTGGAATATTTTAAAAACTACCCTGTCGATTTTGGCGATATTATGTATCCTTATAATACGTTTAAAAATATTAATGACATGTTTTTTCTTATTTGCCTCTGACCATCCCCAGCAAAGTTACGGGGTTAGATAGATAACCCCTTTCCTTAAGAATAATGTGATAAACTGTTACACTTTTGAACAATATTTTGAAGAAAATCATTTATTAGATGTAAATTAAGATTTACGCAGTAAAATAAACCCTATACGACATTAAGGGGTGGCTGGGGTTAACTACCCTAACCACCCCAAAAAATATTTTTTTTTGCGAAAATTGTTTGTCGATTTTGGTGCAATTTACCACGATGATTTTTTTATACGTTAGGTAGTACTATTGTAAGAACTTACAAGGGTTAGAAGTTTGGGGTAGAAAATATATTTTCGCTAATAACTTTCATACTCCTACAGAAAAGCTTTTTTATCCTTATTCTATTTAAATAACACAAAAGTTAGGATAATTATATAAATATTTATTAATAATGAGCTAAAAAGCAACAGAAAAAAAAAGGTTAAGTATGACAAATTGTATTCGACATTGTTAATTTAGTTTTTTTATTTAATTTATTTTTATTTGAAGGAGTTTTGGGGGTTAAAACCGTTGAAAGCGTGGTGCAGTCAGTGTCATCGACAACACATAGCTACACAATTCAACCTATCATATCTGCAAATGAAAAGCTAGTTTCTCCTCTTTACATTGTTTTAAAAGAATCCTCTGGTACGTTTGGACCAAGGGTAATAAATACAATGTTCAAAGCAGATAACATATTCGTTTTGGCATCAATGTCTGGTGAACTGACTTCTGCTCACATGAAAAATTGGCTACAAAATGACTATTTCCCAAACACCGGACCCAAATCATTACTATTACTGAATTCTTGGAGTGGCCACTGCCCTGAAATTATTAGTGAAGTAACTCCGTCGGATGTTAGGTTTAAATATTTGTCTATACCTGCCTCTATTTGGTTTTAGAATATGGAAAAATACCAGTACGATGTCAATTTGCATCAGCGAGATAATATTTTAAAATTGCAATCCTTAACGCATAACCAGTTGTCTTCCCCACCATTTATTAATGTTTTTAAATACGCCTGGTTTGCATCTGGCTATATAGAGGAGAGACCAGAACAGTTTGAAAATCCTGTGGAGGTTTGCTTTTTTAATGAAAAACCTACGTGCGATATCTGTGGAGATATAGCTGTTATAACTTGTGCATAGTGTAAACAATCGTTGCGTTTAAAACATTTTTTCCATGATTTTCATTATTGCCAACAATATATTGAATAAAAAAAGTAAAAAAAAAGAAATTAAAGTAATAATGTAGAATACAATTTGTGATAGTCAACCATTCCTTTGTCAGTTAGTTTTTAACTCATTACTAATAAATATTTATATAATTATCCTAACTTTTGTGTTATTTAAATAGAATAAGGATAAAAAAGCTTTTCTGTAGGAGTATGAAAGTTATTAGCGAAAATATATCTTCTACCCCAAACTTCTTACCCTTGTAAGTTCTTACAATAGTACTACCTAACGTATAAAAAAATCATCGTGGGAAATTGCACCAAAATCGACAAACAATTTCCGCAAAAAAATTAATTTTTGGGGTGGTTAGGGTAGTTAACCCCAGCCACCCCTTAATGTCGTATAGGGTTTATTTTACTGCGTAAATCTTAATTTACATCTAATTAATGGTTTTCTTCAAAATATTGTTCAAAAGTGTTACAGTTTATCACATTATTCTTACGGAAAGGGTTTATCTACCGTACCCCGTAACTTTGCAGGGGATGGTCAGAGGCGAATAAGAACAAACACGTCATTAATATTTTTAAACGTACTATAAGGATACATAATATTGTCAAAATCGACAGGGTAGCTTTTAAAATATTCCAAAAATCTAGGGGTAGTTTACCCCCTGAAGTCCTCAGATATATGTGTGATATATCAATGGAAAGCTCTTTGAAAATGAATATCAGTTTACATTTACCACATTTCGATAGCTATTTTCGTTTTCAGCTTATAAGCGAATATATATATTTCACCCCGATTTCCAACCCTTATAACTCGCCCCAGGGGCTTTATTAGCACGTATAAAAAATACGTAAACCTTATTTTTGGCCATACTATCGCTGTACCAAATTTCAACAAAATCGGTGAGGGACAGTTCTGATACTTCCCTTGTTAGTCACTTCTGTAATACTGTGTGCCATGGAAGAAAGAACGCGCAAAACTGATAACAGTCATTAAATGTTATTTCAATGCCCGAAGCAGTTGTAAATGATACTTATAAGTTGTTTTTTTATTTTTTTCCCATGGCACACTACAGTATAACGCAAGTAATTTTAAGAGAATGTTAGGAAACTATTTTAATGTTTTTCTATACTACAATTACAATTAATGTTTATGTATTGTACATCAATGGATTCAGAAAAGGAATCTCTATCCAATAGCGTGAAAAAAAACATACCGAGCAATTTGAAAATCAAAAGTTGGTAATCGCTTGAAATTCAAGATGGCGTTGGAAAAAGTTTATTTGTAGCATGAATCATAGTATTCATCAAACCTATTCATTTGATATTTCGCTCATGAAAATCGGAATTTAAATGACGGAGTTACAGCTTGTGGCATTCTTGTGTGACAACCTGTATATACAGGTGTCTTTTTTCTGCTAAAACTACATTTAAAACGGATGTATTATACATCAATGGATTCAGAAAGACAATCTCTATCCAATGACGTGAAGAAAAATATACGCAGCAATTTGAAAAACAAAAGTTAGTAATTACTTGAAATTGAAGATGGCGTTGTAAAAAATTTATTTGTAGCATGAATCATAGTATTTATAAAACCATTTTATTTGGTACCCTATACTAACATTAGTTTTAATATTAGAAACATTAGATTACTAAAATAATTAACTCAAAAAAAAAAATAGATAACTTCGGTACCAGCTTACCTCACAACGTTACGAGGCTAAAATACAGCCGAATTAAAGATTAATACTGCGTTTTTTTCTACTCCGGGAAATCCCGATCGTAATTAAATACTTTGTCGATGTTTGGTGAATAACTCCGCCAAAAGCGTGATTTTGTCTACGACCCAAACCAATTACAAAATTTTATCTTCAAAAATGTCGTTTCAGGACAAAAATGCTTCACCATACATTAAACGCGCGAGACTGTCTAGTGCAAGTGACCGAGTTAAAAATGCGGAAAACGCTTAAATACCCGTTTCCAAAAATTCGCAAAAAAATTTATATCGCGTCCGAGTTTCCGACTCCGAGTTCAAATCAATTTCGGTAAACGATTAAATAAGATGAATCACCTCATCTGATAAAAAGCCCAAATTAAGAAAAAAGAAAAACTTGAAGAGTTAATTCAAAACTGTTAAATTGGTACCAAAAATTAATTAAAGCAATGCAAATACTAATTTAATTCCGCCCTCTATGAATTAAAGATTAAAACAAAAAAAAAGACAACGAAAAGGATTGATGGGAAAGGAAACCAAAACAAAACAAACCAAAAAAAAATCAAGTGTAAATCGAAACTAATCAATAACATCGAGCTTTACCCTGAAACTTAAGGAAAGGAAAACAAAAATAGAGAAAACGACATTAGTCAAAATAAAACTGTAACAAAGGGCTTTAAAAAAGAATATACATTTTTATTTCATAAATATTATATTTTTCAGACGTACTCCTGACATTACAGAAGTACAGGTTATTTAGTGTGTAGGGTACAACTATAATATATGTAGTAATAGTATTGCATAGTAGCATTCTTTTCTTCATGCTTTTTAATAGTTCATGTATTCTTTTGTGTCGACTTTCCTAGCATTATTTTAGCACATTGACAACGTTCAGGGTTTGTGTACTTACAATATAATTTAGCTTACAGTATGTAGATTTTTTTTACAAGTGATTTGTAGATTAGTGGATATGTAAATCTGCATGTATCTAGCACGTTGTTTTTAAAATTAAAATAATTGTAATAATATCAGGTTTCACCAGAGCAACGCAATCAAATAGCGGAGCAAACTCTTGGACAGTATGCCTGTGACACTTATGTTCAGGAAAAAAAGTTGACTAACTGCATCCAACTTTGGTGAAGTTGTTAAAAGACGCCAAACGACAACTTCACAAAACTTATTGTATCGGTTACTTTATAATAAACCATTTAAAAGTGCCGGTATGATTTATGGCAGTGAAAAAGAAATAGTGGCCCGTGCAAGATTTGAAAGGGAGTTTGGCGTTACAGTAAAGCCTGCTGGCTGATTTGTAGATGTTCATAATGGCTTTTTGGGAGCATCGCCGGATGGTATTGTTAATCTATATTTAAAATTTAAAAGTAATTATTTTTTTCTGGTATATAGGACCTATAGGCGACGATTCTATTATTGAGATAAAGAGCTTGTACAGCCTTCATAAAAGTGGAATGACATTATCTGAAGCCGTTACATAAAAAAAATATATATTTATTCTTAGAAAATGTCAATGGAGAAATACGGCTGAAAAGAAACTATAATTACTTCTATCAATCAAGTATTTTCTCATAATATCCCATATCAAATTACATCCAATGGCGCTTAAACAAATAAAAAGATAAAAATATTAAACACTACCAATTTTGTTATAGTATCCATAATCCATAATTAATATTTTTTTAATTGCAGGTACAGGGGCAATTGAATAGTTGTCAGAGAGCCCAATGCTGTTTTGTTATATACAGGGTGTCAGATAAAAAACGCCCCAAGCTGTAACTCTGCCATTTACATTCCGATTTTCATGAACGAGGTATCAAATGAAATGGTTTGATGAATACTATGATTCATGCTACAAATAAACTTTTTCCAATGTCATCTTCGTTTTCAAGCGATTATCAACTTTAGATTTTCAAATTGCTCGGTATGTTTCTCTTCGCGTTATTGGATACAGATTTTTTTTGCTGAACCCATTGCTGTACAATACATTAACATTAATTGTAATTTTAGCAAGAAAAACAATTAAAACATTTTCCGAACATTGTCTTAGTCCCTTTTGTAATACTGTGGTGTGCCATGGAAAAAAATAACGCGCAAAACTGATAACAGTCATTAAATGATATTTCAATGCCTGAAGCAGTTGTAAATGATTATTTTTTCCCATGGCACACTACGGTATTACTGTATTGTATCTTGGTGCTTTTAATAAATGACACCAATAGTCGTTAATACTTTATTGAATCTAATCTCTCTACTCACAATAGAATCTACGTCTTTACTTTAACTGACTTTTGCATTACGTTCTTATTTCTAGGTTATGTATGTTTGGTTGTCTAAACTTGTTTCAATATTAAACATCCCCCCGTTAACTAAGAATGTAATCTTTTAACCTTTCAGGTTTTCTAATCGACCGCTGGACACGAGGCGCTTTTACAATTACGGTATTCGGTACAATTGGGCACTTTTCAGTATCAATAATTTTAGTCTCTGTCTCTTTAGTATTAATCACATCGCTCGGCATTACAACATCATCCACGGGATCCATTATGACAGGTTTATTCAAAGATTTTCGAATTTGCGCACTATTTCGCGTAATTACAATTTTCTTTTTTTCTGTCATTAAATTGTAAGATCTCGGATTTTCGGTCCTCTGAACCTCCTGCGCCGGTTTCCATGTCTTTGTCTGTACGTCCTGAAATGTGACATTTTCTCCTGCCTTAAACAAAGGTTTCTTCCGGCTTTGTTTATCATACCTTTCCTTTACCCTCTGTTGCTTTTGTTTTTGTTCTATGTAGGCATTTTTATATGTTACCTTTGGTATTAGAATATTTTTAATTGTAGGTAACTTTGATCTCAATACACGACTCATTAAAATTTCACTTGGGCTATATTTTAGTCCTGCAACTGGCGTACATCTATATTCCAATAGTCCTGAATAGATGTCTTTTAAATTGTTAGCTTTCTTTATGATATTTTTAGCTATACCCACAGCTTTTTCGGCCAGTCCATTGGACTTCGGGTAATACGGGCTTGAATGTTTTATCTCAAAATTCCATTCAATCGCAAATGTTCTGAAATTATGACTATTAAATGGATTATTGTCACAGATAATCTGTTTAGGTATTCCATGTGTTGAAAATAATATTATAAGTTTTTTCTCAATTTCCTCAATGCTTTTACTGTTTAATGGTATTATGTCTATCCATTTTGATAGATAATCTACAGTTACTAAATAATTTTGTCGTCCATATTCTGCTATGTCTAATCCTATTTTATTAAATGGCAAATCCGGTAATTCGTGATTATATAGAGGTTCTTTCACACAACTTCGTTGATATTTTTCACACTCGACGCAACGTTTTATCATTTTTTCTGTTGAATTGTTAATATTCGGCCAATAAAAGAGTTTTCTTGCTCTTAATTTTGTTTTAACTATACCTGAATGACCTGTGTGAAGCAATTTTAATACTTTAGATCTAAACGACTCAGGAATAACTAATTTATCATTGTAAAAAATAATATTTTCTCGTAGAGATAAATTATCTCTTAATTTGTAATATTGCTTAATTTCATTATCAACATTTTTAGGATTGTAACTTTTCCATCCTTCATTAATATGTTGTATCACCTCATTTAAGATTAAATCATTTGTAACATTGTTTTGTAATTCCTCAATTCTCTCTTTTGACATTGGCAGTAAATCTTCTAACATTATTGAATGTATCACGCCTTCAATCTCTTATTTTTATTTATTTATTATTTTTATTTTTTTTTATTTGGGATGCAAACGGGACAAGCCCAGCGAAGCATCCACTAAAAATATACAATATTATAAACTAAAAACAAGAATTTAGCAATAAGTAACAAAAAAAATATCAAACAGGTTAACAAAAAACATAGCAACAGAAATAAAATTTAACAAAAAAGTGAAACTTAAGCAAAACTAATAATCAAAAATATTGAAAAAAAAAAAATCAATCAAAAACAGAATTAATGTCGCAAGTCAAACGGCGCACGTGATGCATATGGGAGGTCATTAACCAATTTCCTAAATGTAGACCGGGGAGTAGCAAACAAGTCTAAATCAGAACAAAAATTGTTAAAAGAAAACATGAGACGAGGGACCACGGAGTTAGAAAACGCATTTGTATTGGTACAAGGCACGTAGAATACCGATAAATCACGGGATGGTCGAACAGGAATCCTAAACTGTAACTGAGATAGAATCGCGGAGCAGTCAACAGTGCCGTTACTCACTTTATAAAGCAGCATTAAATCGTTACTAATGCGCCTGGAAGAGAGTTGAGGGACTCCAAATATTAAGCATCGCTGTGCGTAATCACAGTATGGTAAGTAGAATTTTCGCGATAGGTACCGAAGAAAACGTTTTTGAACTTGTTCTAGTCGATCAATGTATATATGGTATTGAGGGTTCCAAACAGAAGATGCATAGTTAAGGATAGAAGAAACGAAGGCGAAGTAAAGAGAACGAATACAGGATAAGTTAGTAAAAGGACGGGAGACACGACAAATAAATCCGAACATGCGAGAGGCCTTATTAACAATAAAATCGATATGAGCTGAAAACGCAAGTTTAGAATCAAAGAGAACCCCAAGATCTCGAACACAATCAGATGGTATAAGAGTATTAGGGCCGAGGGAATAATCGAAAACAATGGGATAGCGTTTGCGTGTAAATGTAATTTTCGTGCATTTATCGTGATTGATGAAAAGATTGTTGTTTACACAATAAGCCTGTAATCGGACCAAGTCCTCCTGCAATTTTTCGCAGTCGTCAGGTGAACAAATCGTGGTAAATATTTTGCTATCGTCAGCGTATAGCAGAAACTTGGAGTAATGAAAACACGCATGAATGTCATTGATATATAGCAGAAACAACAACGGTCCCAAATGACTGCCTTGCGCCACACCGGAAGTTATCTCTTTGAAGGAAGAGCGATAGCCATTAATGGTAACAGCTTGTGATCTGCTAGAGATGTAAGAAGATAACCAATAAATCAAACCAACAGGGATGTCATAATTAAAGAGTTTCTTAAAAAGAATTCCGTGATCTATTCTGTCAAAGGCCTTACTGTAGTCTGTATATACAGCATCCACCTGGTAATTTTTGTCTAGAGCATTCAGTAAAAAATTAGAAAATGTGATTAGGTTAGACTCCACTGACCTGCCACGAAAAAAGCCGTGTTGCTCCGGGATTATGTAAGATTTGACCTTAAAGAAAAGCAGATCGTAAACTAGACGTTCAAAGATCTTAGAGGCAATTGACAGAATAGAAATGGGTCTGTAGTTGACGACTAAATTTCGGTCACCAGCCTTATGGATGGGCAGTATTAGAGCTTTTTTCCATTCGGATGGGAAAATAGCCGTTTGCAGAGAAATATTGAAAATGTAAAAAAGTGGTTCAGTAAACACTGATGCACACTCACGAAAAAGCACGCCTGGTAGGCCGTCCGGATCCGCACCCGCTCTAGGATTCACAAGTGACAACGCCTGTAGAATATCACCACTTGAGAACCAAGGTGCGATTTCCGAAGAAGAGCAGTCGCGGATATCAACTAAAGTTCCATCAACAAAGACAGAACTAAAATAGTCAACAAACAGTTTGCAAATTTCCTCCCCACCCTCAACCACTCGATCACCATACGACATCTTACTGGGAATACTCATGCTGCCTTTTTTCCTCGATTTAATAAAAGACCACAGACTGTTAGGATTATCGGACAAGCTAGTCTGTGTAGCCTCTAAGTATAGCTTATAATCAGCTGCAATTAAAGTTTTAGACCGAGTACGGAGCAGACGAAAGGTTTCATAGTGAAGGCGATTACCTGTAGTCTTCCATTTTTTGTGAAATTTTAATTTTTCCTTAATGGCCTTGATCGTTGGCAGGGAATACCAGTTAGGAAATCTGCATTTAAAAGTAATTTTGTGAGGAATAAATTCATCAACTGCTCCGCGAACAACTGAATAAAACACTTCAAGCGCCTCGTCAACTGGTAAGTGACTAATAGCCGCACCCCAGTCTACAGACGCGAGTGATGTACGGATACCTGTATAGTTAGCCTTGTGAAAAAGATATTTACGCGAGCAGTTTTCGCGGAGGGAATGCAATAAATTAAATTTAATTGAAAAAGTTAAAGCAGGATGATGGGTGTCCGCGTGCAAAAGTGGATCAAGGCTTTGAGAAAAATCAGAGATGTTATAGGAGTTACTAAGAATAAGGTCCAAGGTTCTGTCGTTAGCATTACGTACGCCGTTGAACTGCTCAAAATTACAATAAGAAAACGAAGTTAAAAACAATCGTGAACGAGCATCATTGGCACTCGATGGCAATAAACCAAGCGATTGCGACGAATACCATGAAATATGAGGTAGATTAAAATCACCAAAAATCAAAATCTTATGGTCAGGGTAGTGGTCGCAAACGCGATGCAAAGTTACCAGAAATGCGTCAAGCGAGTCAAAGTCCGCGGGTGGGAGATAAACACAACAAAGCAGCAACCGAGTACCACCGCACTGCACAGAAAGCCACAGATCTTCAGCGGACGCACTTTCAGCAAGTCTAAAACAGTCGATTGTTGATCTTATAGCGATCAAAACGCCGCCACCATCTTTTTTGCTTGACAGTGTAGACTCACGGTCCCGACGGAAAACGGTGTATTGAGCGCCAAATAATTCGCCATCATGAACTGAGCTATTCAAATAAGTTTCAGTGAGACAAACAAGGTCGAATTCAGAGTCACTAGTCTTCAAGAAGAGTGTGTTGGTCTTGGATCTTAAGCCGCGTACATTCTGGTAATAAACACTTAGTTCCATTAGTTTCCGTCGAGTCTTTCAAGATCAGATAGGGATTTAATTGGAACAGCCTTAGACTTATCGTTGCGCCGAACGAAGATTGACCCCTGTGACACCCAATTGTATTTAAAGCCTTTAGAACGGGCCGCGTCCCTAGTAAGTTTCAGCAGTCTCTTATTTTCAGGAGAGAGATGTTCATTGACGAAGATCCGTTCAGAGACTCCAGGAACGACGAAACCAGGCGTGGTGGGCGATTGTTTCTTTGCGGCTTTAGAGGCGGCCAAAAATTTATTGCGTGTTTGGCGGGATAAAAAACGAACAACGATGTTGCGAGGACGACGAACGCCATCCGCCGCCGGGGCAATCGAGCTCTTCACGCGGTGTGCAACGTCAACATCCGCGGCCGACAGTGGTAGGCCAATAGCGCTGCCGATAGTTTCAACAATCGTCGTTACGTTCTCGCTTGCCGCCTCAGGGACACCCAAAATTTCCAAATTAGAAAGACGGGAGTGCTGTTCTAAATCATTAACTCTCTGCCGCAGATCGCGATTCTCCTCACGAAGGGAATCAACCGCAGCGCAACGGGATTGTAGATCGCCGATTACCTTTTCATATTCTGTGAATCGATTGCAAAGCGTAGCGTATTTTTCATTCAGTGCTTGCAACTGATTGCATATAACCAAAAGCGTATCTTGATTAGCCTGGGTTCCGTCGGGGACCGGCTCAAAATCCTCCGCCGCAATAATTGACGAGTTGCCCAAGTCGCGGCAACTGGGGCAGCGCCACGATGAACCGGGCAGCGTCAAAGCGGCAAGTGCCGCTGGTGGAACTTCGGCGCAGCGGGCGTGGAAAGATCCCCCACACGACCCAGCGCACGACAAACCGGATGCTTTTTTGGAAATGGCCTTGGAGCACAAGGAACAGGACGGCATGCCGTACGACGTGATAACAAATCGAAAAATAATAAAACAATATTCACCAACCTGATTAGAATAATTGAATTGAAAGATTCAGGATAAATTCTTGATTAAGCTAAGAATGAAAACTATCGCGAAAACCGTAAACTTTTCGCACTATTAAAAATTATTGAAGGAAGACCAAAAGACACGACTGATCTCCGCGACAGCACCACTCTTGATCTTCTATTAATTTACATCCTAGTGATGGTCGCGATAACGTATCAGCTACGTACATGTTTTTTCCGGGAATGTAATTTACTTTTAAATTATATTTAACCAACTTTAAATGCATTCTTTGGATTCTGGTACTACTTTTATGAATATCACCTTTCAATATATTAACAAGCGGTTTATGATCTGTATGCATTTCGATTTCACGACCATAAATGAACTGATGAAACCTTTTACAAGCAAAAACTAACCCCAGCATTTCCTTTTCAATTATTGGATAATTCTTCTGAGCTTGCGTTAAACTTGTAGAAGCAAATGCAATCGGCTTATTGTCTTGAAGCAAACAACAACCTAACCCATCTTTGCTTGCGTCAGTCTGTATTATTATTTTTCTATTTGGATCATAATAT